CACAGCTTGGGAGCAACAGAATCTTCCTTGATACCATACCGTCGCCCAAACTCCCAGCCTTTGAGCAAGCCCACAAGCATTCCAGCTGGCAGAGGCATTGGCTGGCTCAGTTCCTCCCTAGAAGACAGTCTCCATTGGCCATGGGGATTGACTAACCACAGGATACCCTTTGGGGGCAGAAGGTCCCGGAGAGCAGGGTGGTTCATCTCACACACCCCTTCAGAATGGGCTGTTCTCAGCCACTGAGTCTGCAGCCGTCATCCCCTGGTGGTGAGAAAGTCAAAGGGAAGAGTCTTGGTGGAGCTAATAAGGGAGCCTTGGGAAAAGGACTAAAGGAACAAAGAAGTGGAAAGAGAGAAAACAGCAGATAAAAGGGATTTGTGATGGTTAAGATTGTGTATCAGCTTGGCTGGGCCCCGATTTCCAGTGTTTATATGTGATCACCACCATGATGGGATCTGCTGTGAGTAGCCAATCAGTTGAAAGGGAGTCTCCTTGGACATTTGCCTGCATCAGAATATAAGTGGACGTTCTGGCTTTTGCCCTCTCTGGATCCAGCGGCTGCCTCCTGTTTGTCTGACCTCTGGTTCTTGGGACTTGAGCTAATAGCTTACCTGCCGATCTTGGGATTCATCGATCTTCACAGCCTGTGAGCAAGAGCCCTGCTCTCCAACCTGCAGATCTTGGGTTCACCAGCCCCTGCAGCTACATGAGTCGGGAGAAGCCTCTCTCCTGATCCATGGACGTGGGACGTTCCAGCCCCTACAATCATGTGAGCCATTTCCTTAATATAAATCTCTCTCTAAATATATTTATACACTTGACTGGTTTTGCTTCTCTAGAGAAACCAGCCTAAGACAGGTTTCAAGGGAGATTAAACCCTGTTATGGGTTGAATTGTTTCCCCTAAAAAAATGTGTTAGAATTCTAGACCTGATACCTGTGGATGTCATGTAATTGAATGTGATGTAATTACGTTCCATAATGCAATCTAGTGTAATGTAATCAATCAGTTGAGGTCATACCAGTGCAGGGTGGATTCCAAACCCACTTCTGAGTTAAATAAAAAGTAGCATAGACACAGAAGCACATGCACACAGAGCCAAGACCCCGATTTGGACTCCTAGCCTCCAGAACTGTGAGAAAATAAGTTTCTGTTCTTTAAAACTACCCACTTGTGGTATTTCTGTTATAGCAGCACTAGGTAACTAAGAGAAGCCCCCACAGAGTGACTTCTTTCTGAACATTCCTCATGCTGCTCACCATGGCAAGAAACCTCGGGGAAGAGGCAACGAGGCCGAGGCACGAGCCGTGGAGTGAGCAGAGCGGTAGGAGACAGTGTGACCACAGAAGGTTGTCACACTTAGTGTGCGAGACCTTACAAAGCAGTGCGGAAAACACCCACATAAAACACCAAGGATGCCCTCCGTCACCCGCAGCAGGCAAAAGTCAATGTATAACAAACGCGTAAGATATGTTCAATCTCGTTAGAAAAATTTGCCATGTAGATTAAACAAAAATACGTCTATTTTGACCTGTCAGCAAAGATTTAAAAAATTGATAAGACCACATTTGGATGAGGGAAGTGGACACCGGGACACTCTTTCTAGAGGGTATTTTGGAAAGACTATATGTAGCAGCGGAGTCCTGGTGGCACAGTGGTTAAGAGCTCGGCTGCTAACCAAAAGGTTGGCTGTTTGAATCCACCAGCTGCTCCTTGGAAACCCTATGGGGCAGTTCTACTCTGTCCTATAGGGTTGCTATGAGTCTGAATCAACTCGAAGGCAATGGGTTTGGTGTTTTGGTTTATTCTAACATGTGCAAAGATATCTCTACAAGGACGTTTGTTGAGTCATTGTTTATAATGCCAACATCATTTTGGAAACAATCTAAATGCCCATCAGGAGGAGGCTGGTTAATAAATCATATGAATAGAATGAATAGTATGCAGCCATTAAAATAATGAAGTATATATTCATGCACCGCTGTGGAAAGATCTCCATAATACGTTTAAAAATGAAAAAAGCAGGATAGCAATTGGCATGTATCACATGGTTTCATTTTTTTAAACAATCCATTTGTTTATAGAAATGGGAAAAACTCTGATAGAGTATACCCCTATCCACCAAAATGCTAACAGCGTCTGTCTCCAGGGGTGGAATTGAGGATGCTTTTCCTTTCATTTTTTCTTTGTATTTTTCAAAAACGTTTTGCAAAGCAGACGTATTATGATTGATAAAAGGTGATATGAGTGTTATTTGGTTCATTGTGTTCTCTTTATGTGTATTAAGAGCCAGTGAAATGGGCGCTAAAGGGAAAGGCAGGACCTGGGTGGGCTCTTGGCTCAGCTATAACGAGGCACAGGCCCTCCCCTCCCATTTGAGGGGTTGGGGCAAGACTACAAACGGGAGCTTGTGTTTCACCCCCTTCTCCTCTCACCCCAGGAGTCTGGTTGTGCTCCATTGTACAAGAACCTTCCCGCCTGCACATGAACCCACAGCCCATACACACACACACAAACACGCTTGCATGCATGCACAAATACACAAACACACACACGTATACACACACAGGCACACACAAACATGCTCGAATACACACACACATACACACACACACATATACACGCACACACAAACACGCATGCGCGCACACACACACACACACACACACACACACACACACACACACACACACACACAGCCCTGGGCCACCCCTGAGGCCTGGGGCTGTTCACCCCAGCAGAGAGGTCCGTGGGGAAGAGGCCAGCACAGGCCCTGGAAGTGGGCTCAGGCCATTAAGGCAGGGAATTCTGAGCCAGACAAAGTGGCCGCCGGGGGTGGGCTAAAACGGCGGCTTCTAATCCTGCCTTTTACTGAGACCAACGGGCCAGCTCGTTTTCAGGGTCCCTCAGGTGCTGCTTCACAGCAGGTGGCCACACTCCCTGCCCCTTAGCTGCTGCTAAGACCTTACAGGTGCTTCCCTCTGTGAGAGAAAGCCCATAACCTCCGCACCCCCCTTCTACTTGAGGGATCTGGTTCCTCCGATATCATTTCATGGGGGAGAAGTCCAAGTGCTAGAGAAATGCAGAGTTAGCAAAGGTCTGCAGAGGCCTCCAGCTCCTACATCCAGGCCCGTCCAGACACTCCTGGAAGGGCTGAGTTCAGTTCTCCCGCTGCCTCCCGAACTTCTGGGAGATCCCTCAGCCCGAGCAGGCCTGGAGGCCTGATTCGGGGGGAAGAGAGTCCGCCCAGCTATTGCCATTAGAACACAGACAGGGCTGGGGGTGCATTACTAGGCCCCAGGAGGTGTGGGAAGTACACTGGGCTGGTGCCGGGAGGTGCTGTTGAGATCTGCCTCTGATGATGACGTTGACCTCTCAGAGGATCGAGGAGCCACGGCAGAGTAGAGGGGGAAGAGGGCACAAGGGTTCCACGGTTTGACAACTGGGGATTAAGTCCTGTCTTTCGCTAACAAGCTGGTTGACCGTGGGCGAGTCACGCAGCGGCTCTGTGCTCCCAGGTCCTGGTGCGGGGATGACAGTACCTGCCTCGAGGAGCTCCTGAGGGGAACACACGACGTGGAGCAGAGTCCATGGCGTTGATGCTGCAGGGGCGAGAACAGAAAGCAGGAGGGCCGGGCTGGCGCTCTCTCGCAGACACTGCACTCGATGACCCGCGGCAAGTGACACAGTGTCCCTTCTTCTCTGCTTCCTCGTTCTCAAAGTGGAGATTATGAGCTTTGGGTCTAAAGTGGGGACACACTTATGCTGTGATGTGAAAACTACCAAAGACTGTTCAGCACATTATGATTTCATTCGATCCCACCTCTCCACCCACAAATGTGTTCCGGGCTGGCTCCCCGCCACCATTGCAAGCCCTCTAAAGAGTGGGGAGTGGGCAGGAAGAGGTCAAGGGAGACAGACAGAAGGAAGAGAAAAAAAGAAGGCGCATCTCTCCCTTCTTCTCTCCCCACTGTGACGTCTCTTGGAAAGGGCCTCTTCACTCAGCTCACCCTTCCTGCCATACTTCATCCCTCTGTATGGCTGCATTCCAAGCTCTCAGGGACCCTGGGACTCCACCTTGTCCCCACCCACCTCCGCAGGGAAACTGCCTCAGACAGCTGCTTTTGGTGTGGTTAGTGCGAATGGACTTCCATGTAACACTTTAGCCGAGAGATCGGTTTCTCGCTTGAAGTCTCTGCAGCTGGACAGAGCAGGGCAAAACCAAAAAAAAGAGGAAGAGGGGGAAGGATTTTAGATCAAGGAAAGGCCGACCAGCAAATAACAATAATAAAAAAATCAGTATTAGTTTACAACCATCTTATTACACTAAACCTCTTTTAAACTAATATATTAAAAAGTATACACGTTTCCTCCAGAAATAGCAGGCTGTTTATTCTTCCCTGGAAGGCAAGACGTTTGAAAGACTTTTTAAAAGCAAGGGAGGATAAAAGAACAATATAATGTGCCGGATACAAAGCAGAAAATAACAAAAGATAACGCTCTATTTATAGCGTATAGCTAGCTCTTTGCAGGATAATTAATTGCAATGCGAAAGACCCATCCATTTATTTAAGAGCTGGATTAGAGTGCGGAGGGGAGGGGAGGGTTCTCACTCTTTTAGCTCACAGAGAGCCAAGGTGTCTGGGTCCACCAAGGCTGCCCGGGACGGTTAGGGTTAGAGCTAGGGCGGGGCTAGGGCTGGGGTTGGGGCTTGTCAGATGAAGAGACCGCAGTCCAGAGTGGTGGCAGGTGCTTATTGAGCGCTACCTGGCTGCCTACGCAGGTGTTAATCCGTTTGGTTCTCCAGCGGCTCTACACAGAGGAACAAGTACCCCCACTTTCCTGTTGACGTAGATAGCTCCCCTCAAATTGGCTCCGACTCATGGCAACCTTACGTACGACAGAACGAAGCATTGCCCGGTCCTGCGCCATCCTCACCATTGCTGGCATGTTGCAGCTCTCGTGCCCATCCATCTCGCCGAGGGTCTGCTTCACCCTCACAAGCCCTCGGCTTCCCCACACATGGCGTTCTCCAGCGACTGATCCTCCTGACGACGTGTCCAAAGCAGGCAAGTGGACAGTGTTCTTCTGTGACCCATACGGTTTTCACTGGCTAATTTTTGGAATTCAATAGCCAGCCCTTCCTCCCTTCTTTGTGTTAGCCTGGAAACTCCAATGACCCTGCTGGCATTTGAAATACCGTGACGTAACTTCCAGCATCATGGCAACACCCAAGCCCCCACAGTGTGGCCACCTGACAGACGGGTGGACCTTTACTTTCGAGAGGCAGGGGCTGGAGGCCTACCAAGCCTTGCTCTTTCTACCCCAGCAGCTCACCTTCATGGGCATCCCCGCCAAGCACATGCTCCAGCACTCCAGGAGGCTTGGGGTAAGCTGGCCGCTGCCCTGGAACAGAAGGCTTGGGGCTGTGAGCCAGTGGCAGGAGGGTGGGGAGCAGGGAGAAAACAGGGAGACAAGCGCTGAGGTCAGCCTCTGGGGGTGCCCCAACTGCGCCTTACTGTGACTGCCGGTCACCGGGAGACAGGCTTGGGGGCAATCATTGTGAAAACTCCCTGAGAGGCCCATGAGGCCGGAAGGGAGCAAAGGAGAGCAGAACGCCTTCTCTCAGCTCCGCTTATCTCTAGGCTCCATTTCTTGTTGTGTGGCCTGCCCCCTTCCATCACCTCACGGCAGCCCCCTGGGAAGCTTTGTGGCTCTCAGTGGAGGGGTCACTCCCCAGGGCTGTGTTTAGACCTCCCTGATCTGGTGGTCCAGTGGTTAAGCGTTCACCTGCCAAGGCAAAGGTCGGCAGTTCAAATCCACCAGCCACTCCTTGGAAACACTGTGGGGCAGTTCTGCTCTGTCCTGTAGGGTCGCTGTGAGTCGGAATTGACTCGGCGGCAGTGGATTTGGTTTTGGTTTTGGATCTCCTCTCAAGATAGCATTTTAATTCTTTCATTTCATCTCTCGTCCACGAGACTGTGAGCTCTCGATATAGGGGTGCTCTTCACTACGCTGTGCTCAGCAAATGCTGAATGAATGAAGGGAAGCAGTAAAGGCGGGGGGAAGACCCAGAACCCTGCTGCATAAGGAGCTACCTGGACAGAACACAGCACAGCGGTTGGCAAATGACTCCTGTATCTCAGCCGTTAGGCGTGTGGTGGGCAAAAAGCAGCAGACCAAGGGACCAGGTTCTGGTCCCAGCGTGGACCCCGGCTCTCAGCATGACACTGAACAGGTCACGTCACCTGTCACCTGGTGTTCTCATCTTGATCGTGGGGTGAGCATCCAGTCACCTTCCAGGTAGCCGAGAAAGCCAAGTGAACAAACGCCTGAAAATCAAACATGTCTCGGAATCTATGAGGTTCATACAAATCTAAGGTGTGGTCAATAAGAAAAACCCGCTGCCATCTAATTGCCTCTGACTCATGGCAACCGCATGTGCTCTATAGAGTTTTCAATGCCTGTGACCTTTCAGAAGTAGATCACCAGGCCTTTCTTCTGAGGCACCTCTGGGTGGACTCCAACCTCCAATCTTACAATTAGCAACCGAGCATGTTAACGGTTTGTGTGACTCAGGGACTCTGGCATCATCAATTAAAAAACCCAACCCTGTTGCCATAAAGGCAATTCCAACTCACAGTGACCCTACAGGACAGGGTAGAACTGCCCCATAGGAGTTCCAAGGAGCGGCTGGGGGATTCGAACTGCTGACGTTTTGATTAGCAGCAGAGCTTTAGCCACTGCGACACCAGGGCTCCAACAGTGCCTACTTACTCAGAGACAGGACTAGGAGTATGGAGCCTACTGTTCTAATTTTCTTTGATTAATTAAACAATTTATGTTCTGCTTTGTTCCAGAAAATACTAAAACTAGGTGGTTAACAAATTCCATTAACATCTTTTTTTAACCCAAAAATAAATCATTTTCATTGTAGAAATTTTAGAAAATACAGATAATGAAAAAAAAAAATCACCCATCATCCTCCTCACTCCCACACACAGCTTAATACTGTATACATTTTGGTATTTCTTCTAGACTTTTCCTGTGCTTAAATACACTCTTAAATATTCATCCATAACCCATCACTACTGAGTCAATTCTGACTCACAGCCACCCTATAGGACAGAGTAGAACTGCCCCATAGGGTTTTCTAGGCTGTAATGTTTATGGGAGCTAACTGCCACATCTTTCTCCCGAGGAGCGGCTCGTGGGTTTGTACCACCAACGTTTTGGTTGAGCGCTTAACTATTGCATCACCAGGGCTCCTTTTTAAAAGTATTTACTTAATAAAAATGATTATTGTTTTTGAACCTTATTCTTTAATAATTGTGAATATCTTACAATATCAATAAATTTAAATATAAATTCTCAACTATAATTTTTAATGGCTTCGAGGTCCCGGGGTGGGACAAATAGTGTGTATTCTACTACTAATCTGAAGGTTGGTGGTTCAAAGCCACCCAGAAGTGCCATGGAAGAAAGGCCTGATGATCTGCTTCCATAAAGACTGCAGCCAAGAAAACCCGCAGTTCTACTCTGTAACACTTAGGGTCACCATGAGTCAGAATCAACTCGATGGCAATAGGTTTCATTTTTTGGTTTTTAGTACTCTAAGACTGCCATAAATTTTAAATGAATCTTTGTTATTTAATGTATAGGTTTTTTCCTAATTTTTTATTACCATAAATGCTAATAGTAGGTTGAACATTCTTATTTGGTGTGTGGATTGAGACCTGAAGACTCTCATGAAAAGGTCATGGTTTCTACCACTCCATCCCCTTGTCTATGGATCCATGATCAACACTCATGGAAGCAGCAGTCAAGAAATCAAAAGCTCCATTGCACTGGGCAAATCTACTGCAAAAGATCTCTTTAGAGTGTTAAAAAGCAAAGATGTCACCTCGAAGACTAAGGTGCGCCTGACCCAAGCGATGGTGTTTTCAATCACCTCCTATGCATGTGAAAGCCGGACAATGAATAAGGAAGACCGAAGAAGAATGGACGCCTTTGAATTATGGTGTTGGCGAAAAATACTGAATATACCATGGACTGCGAAAAGAACAAACAAATCTGTCTTGGAAGAAGTACAGCCAGAATGCTCCTTAGAAGCAAGGATGGCGAGACTTCATCTCACATACTTGGGACATGTTATCAGGAGGGACCAGTCCCTGGAGAAGGACATCATGCTTAGTCAAGTAGAGGGTCAGCGAAAAAGAAGAAGACCCTCAACAAGATGGATTGACACAGTGGCTGCAACAAAGGGCTCAAGCATAGCAACACTTGTGAGGATGGTGAAGGACCGGGCGGTGTTTCGTTCTGTTGTTCGTAGGGCTGCTGAGAGTCAGAACAACAGCAACCAGTTATTTATATATAATTAGAATCATTTCTATAATTTTCATTCTGTTCCATTTATCTGTTTGTTCTTTCTTAGGAACTGTTTATATTTTGTCATTTTAAAAATATGTTTTAATATCTGGTAGAACGAATGCCCTTTTTTATTCTTCTTTTTAAAAAAATTGAGCAGTTTCACACATTTTCTGCCGAATCCACTTTAAAATCATAGTCAAGTTCCAAAAATAATTTTATTGAAATAGAGACTGAAATTCTAATGAATATATAGATAGTTAGTTTGGGATGAACAAACATGTTTACCATATTAAACTTTCCCAACTCTATTATTTTCATTTACAAAGTAGATTAAAAAAACAAAAAAGATTTTCCAGTAAAGTTTGTAATTTTATGCTTCTAGATTCTGTATACTTCTTCCCCTTGCCCCAAGTATTATACATTTTTGTTGCTGTTGTGAACTGGGTCACTTTTTTTTCTCAAATTTTCTTATTGTTGTGTGACACTGGGTCAATTCTGCATCAGTGACCCCATGGGACAGAATGGAATTGCCCCCATGGGGTTTCCTAGGCTGTAATCTTTACAGGAGCAGATCACTAAATATTGGAATGACTGGGGGAGTTTTACTTCCTAATATACCCAGACCCACCCTTAGAGATGCGGATTCAGTTGGTGTTGGATTGTGCATTAGTATATTTTAACCGCTTACTCCCAGGTGATTCTAAAGCGCAGCCAGGGCTGAGAACCACTGCTTTCAATGATGCCCAACTTATTCATCAAATTCTTAGTTACTAGCAGCAGAAGGAGCCCTGGTGGCCAGTGGTTAAACATTTGGCTGCTTACCAAAAAGTTGGTAGCTCGAATCGACCAGCTGCTACTTGGAAACCCTATGGGGCAGTTCTACTCTGTCCTATAGGGTCACTATGAGTCGGAATTGACTCGATGGCAATGGGTTTTGGTTTTGGGTATAGAGAGAATAGATAATTCAGTCTTTGTTTTAGCTTGGTTGATTCAAATTTTTTAAATAACATTTTTATTTTAAAATAGTTTTAGATTTACAGAAAAACTGTGAAGATAGTACAGAGAGCTTTAGTATATCCCTCACCCTGTTTCCCATATTATTGACATCTTACATTACTATAAGGAGCCCCGGCGGTGCCGTGATTAAGTACTAGGCTCCTAACTGAAAGGTTGGCAGTTCGAACCCACCGGCTGCTCTGCAGGAGAAAGATGTGGCAGTCTGCTTTCATAAAGATTTACAGCCTTGGAAACCCTATGGGACAGTTCTACTGTGTCTTATAGGGTCGCTATGAATTGGAATCCACTTGAGGGCAGTAGGTGTTTTTACATTACTATGGTACATTTGTTACTGCTAATGAACCAACAAGGAGCCCTGGTGGTGCAATGGTTAAGCACCTGGCTGCTAACCAAAAGGTTGGAAGTTTGAACCCACCAGTGGCTCCTAGGGAGAAAAGACCTGGTTATCTTCTCCCATAAAGATTACAGCCTAGGAAATCCTATGGAGTGTTTCTACTTTGTCATATAAGGTCACTATGAGTCAGAATTGACTTGACGGCTCACAACAATGAACCAACATTGATACATCATTATTAAATAACTCCATACTTGATTTGAATTTTATTAGTTGTCCCCTAACGTCCTTGTTCTGTCCCAGGACCCCACCCAGATTACTACATTACGTTTCGTCATCAGGTCTCCTTAGAGTTTTCTTGACTGTGATGGCTTTGCCGACTTTCCCTGTTTTGTTTTTTGTTTGTTTTTAACTCGTGGTTATGGTTTATTACAGTGCAAGGATACGGATTAAAATCAGCAAAGAAAAAAGGTGCATAGGGCTGAGTCCAGGGGAAACCAGGCATAAGCTTCCAGTTGTCCTTTCCCAGTGCAGTATCATGAACAACACTTAATTCTTCCAGTAACCACGTGTGACAACATGTACAAAGTATTGCCAACCAGGGAAGCTCATCCAAGCCCTGGTGCCCAGGGTTTCTATTGGGGGTCAGTCACCTATACGTACAGCACTGACATGACTGACCTAA